AACAACAACAATAATAATAATAATAATAAACAACAACAACAACAACAATAGCAATAAACAACAACAACAACAATAATAATAATAAACAACAACAACAACAACAATAATAACCATTTTTAATCCAACAATTGGATAAGCTTTAGATAGATAATATTTCATATATGATTAAAAAATTGAATTCAATCATCCTGAAATTTGATAGAGAAAGTAAGATGATGAAAAAGAGTGACTTTTAAAGTATAAATAAAATCCTTTAGGTATGAGCAATATTTTTGATAGTAAAATAAATTTGAAATTTCCATGCAATTTTTCACATCAAAAATATTAGAAAGGAATTGGAAATAAGTAATATTTGGTAAATAAATATGTTACAATTTTAAAAATTAAATTTATTTGTTCAATTATTGTTTCACCTCAGTATTACTTGGTAAACTATCTAGATCTTCTTTTGCTATCATCATTCTCTCTTTTACGTATTACGCATGTTCGATAATTTATTACCCGTTAAACTTACCAAAGTTACGGTAACAGATTTTAGTTTGTCAAATTTCAATTATTGAAAAGCTGGAATTTTATTTTTACAAAAATCAAATGCTAAAATGCTAATAACCCATTTAACAAAATTCGATCATTTCAACAAATCTTTATTAAAAATAAATTATATGAATTGTAGTCCTTTTTTTTATAAAAGTATTTAGCGAATAAATATGAATTGTTAAAAAGACCAAATGTATTTGATTGAAAATTTTATTACATAATTTACTTACTGTAAACCATCAAATGATAAGCAATGCAAAATCAATACCATAATTTACACCTTATTATATTGAATAATTAATTAAAGATAAAATTTTGTATGAAACAAATCTTTGTCATACAAAAACAATTGATAATAGTATAGCTATTACCATATCGGAACAATGATCAGAAACAATGCCATTGTATAAGACGGATACAGTATCCATCGTATTATTATAAAAATTGAACAATAGGAAAAGCTTAGCTTAGGGGATACGTGAGAAAATCCCGTGGTTTATCAAATATTACCATATTTGTTTGGGAGCATTTTTCTCACTTTAAATAAATGAATATGATTGGATTGGGACGAATGCGCCATCTTTTTCGCTTATAAAACTTTTTATGTTCCAATTAATAATTCCGCCATTATTTAATATTGTTTCTTTTTTTTCTTTTTCTTTACTTATTCCTTATTGATCTACAATATGTCTTTCATGTGAATTAATTCATTGAATGATTAAAAATTTGTAAACGAATTTCTAAGCCTTCTTTTGTTAATCATTCAAAAAAAAAAATTTAAAATAAATGAACTTCACAAAAAAAAAAAGAAGCACAAAGTGTATTGTTTAAAATTTTAAATGAATTAATTGTTGTAATTTCTGCGAAAGCAATGTAATGATAAAAATGATGTAATAATATGATAATGCAAATGATAAGTTTTAATGTATCATAAATCACTTTAATATTTTGTAATAGTTATAAATAATGATAAGAAATGTAAATGTAGGCATGAATAGTTTACTATGGCTTTATTAAACAAATTTCAACAAATTCAACAATAATTTCACTAAAAAAAAAAAAAACATTTCTTTTAAAGGTTATATTATAAGAAATTGATATGATATGATTGATGGTGATAAATTTTTGCAAAAATTATGATTAAAATCCATTAATGGTATAAGTTTTCTGATGTTTTCTCGTACGTGAAATGCGTCAAAAAGATTCAATTTTTCCTCTTCGCGCATACAATCATTTACTTCTGGCTTCTCAATTTTTCCTGTCATATTGTAAATATTCAAAAATGAAAATTATCATGAGATTTTCAAATCTAATATTCACTCATTTTATTATCACTTTTATCTGTAACTTTTCCTATCATTATCAATGCACAAAAATATGTCAAATTTTTTTCTGAGTAGGAAATTTAAAATTTGGGACTAAAATTCAATCAATGATAAAAGGAAAAGGAAAAAAAGAAAGATTCTAACCGTCATTTTTAGATGAAAGAATTATGGTTGGAAATTTGTGGGAGAATTTTTTGTTACTGATTAAATTTTAAATCTTCTACTGAAAAATACAAAATTTAACCTAAAGTAAGCTTTGCGCTAATACCTTAACTTTTTTTTATAATTTCTTCTATAATTTTTCTTTTTCCTTTTCAATGCATTGAAAATTGGCATAAGATGGAAAATGAAAAAAGAAAAAAAAATTGGGAAAAAAAATTTGGTAACTAATAAAATAATTTGATTGTATTATTTTGAAAATATAATTTAATGAAATTTTACATGGAAATATTATTTATTGTCAAATTTTAGTAATTTTAAGGAAATACATTTGTTATAGTTATCTATTGATAAGATATGCATGAGAAAACGACAAATTAATAGATATTATTGTAAGAAAACGACAAATTAATGAATAAATATTAGTGTTAGATAACGATAAGTTAATAAATAATATTATTGTATTGCAGACTGATTGATATTAATATGGTAATCCACTAAAAATTATAGATCTTAGCATGCATATAAGGATTAATGGATTCGATGAATTGGCACCCGGCGCATTTGTCGAGACCGTCCGGTGGAGCGGTGTAGCGAACAATTGCACTGAGTGCAATTTTACCGAAGGCTCAATGGGTAATATTACCGGTGTAACCCGGGCGTTATTTAGTATTGAATGGTTTTAACCTGGTTAAAAATCATTTGATACTAATTAACGATGAGAATGGATGGTGTTTTGTTCCCCGACCTATTTTTTGGAAGGTCACCCATCTGGGTGACGATTGAAAAAGCATACGGGCAATTTAGATAGTATACGTGCAAGTTGGATGGTACGTTTTTTTCTTTTTCTTTTTTTTTTTTCAAGTATACGTGCAATTT